GAGTATGAGAAGACGTGGGATTTCATGATCTCCGCCCAGAAGTACTGCGAGGGGGCATTCATCGATGTCTTTGCGGGTGAACTGCAGGGACAGAAACCCAAAGATTGTCTGGGTTATGGGATCCCGATCCTCGATTCCAACCCTCTTAGCGATCAGTTCTTGCTGGACCTGGCCGACGACTCCTTCGTCAAGGGTTATCGTGAAGGGGTGAAGGCCACGCTGCCAGTTTTTGCTGCACTCCGTGGTCCGGATTTCAAGTTGGCAGATCATGCTGAGGACGCAGAGCTGAAGAGGGCATGCGGAAAACTGGAGCAGGACCAGAAGCGAGTCAAGGCCGAGGCAAGGGGTGAGATCCCAAATTCTCCGACCCCTGAGCCGGAGATCGGAGACGAGGACGCTTATCAAGGGATCACAAGGCCCATATCTCCCAATTTTTGTAGATGCTCCCCTTTCATTTTTCATTCTCATTCTTAACTTGTAAATTCCAGTCGGAAGTGCTGAAGAATGAAAAATATTTTTGCCTCTTTACTTATTCTTACGTTTGTATTCCTTTCACACTGCATGCCTCATTTCATTTCACCTTTTTTTGCTAAGTGTCTGAAGCCAGGCGTAGTTCATATCCGATATAAGCAGGATGACAACGTACGTCTGTTAATCGCCACTCCTGATTATATTTCCAAGTGTTGAGGTCCGGGCATAGCCACTATATCCAGTTCTAGTGGGGTGACGACGTGCGTCTGTCAACCGTTTTCTCTGATTGGATTCTCATGAATTCTTCCGGGCGTAGTCGTCATAACCGGTATAAGTGGGGTGGCGATGTGCGTCCACAGGTGCTTCCCCCGATTGAACTTCCAATTGCCTCAGGTGCTTCCCCCGATTGAACTTCCAATTGCCTAGATCTAGATATGTTTTTCTTGACCAAGTATAGAGCGACGTACATGTTAGTACCCAATTTTGATAGATTTTGGTGATGCCACTATACTAAGCTCCTGTATGATTCATGTTCCAATCATTAATAATCATGTCAAAAGTTGAAATGATGTACTAAAAAGAAAAGAGTACACTATCAAGTGACAAATTAATAATGTACAATTTTTTGTACCAAATAAACTTTACTGGAAATATAAAATGCAATAAGGTAAATTTTATTTACCTTAAAAGCATATTTAAATCCAACCAGTATAACTTTATTTGATACATAAACTACACAGTCACAAAAGTACACTATCAACTGATCAAAAGTGACAAATTAAAATGTACAACTTTTGGACCAAATAAATTGCACTAGAACATAAAAATGCAATAAGGTAATTCTCTTTTACCTTAAAAGGATTTTTTGTAAGATCCTACCAGTACAAACTTATTTGATACAAAGAGTTGAAGTCACAAATTAGTAAAGTCCAAAGAAGAACACACATACACCATACGCTACATACACTATACGTGTATTATTGAAGACAAAAGCAAGAAGCATTAAATGATGAATAGTACATGGGGTCTAAGGTATGGGAACACACACAATGAATCTTGAAGATAATCCTGAAATGATCCTTATGCGGCTCTGAGAAGATAAATGAAATCTCCTTTAAACCTGCTCCAACACAAGAAGACGAAAGTACATCTCATTCAACGTCAAGGATTAAATCCTCTCAACCAACGGAGGAGATTAATCAACCGGAGAAACCTATAAATAGAGGCACAAGCATGAGTTCTAAAACCAAGTTTTTGAGAGTCTTCTAAGTAGAGTATATTATATTGAGCATCTAAGAGATATCCAACAAAAGAGAAAATGCTTGTTTAAACTTTGCTCTCTGCTTAGACTCATGTTTCACTAAACTTCCAAGTTAGAATTCTCATTGCTATATTCTGGAAGTTTAGTTCTTAGTTGGAGGCTAGAATTTTTGTTACATCATAAATTGTTATAAACACTTAGAAGGACAGTGTTATGTAGTCCTAAGTGTGGATGAATAGAATAGAGTATCTTTTGATCCCCACTGGATCAATTGAGAAAATCTAAGGATTGAGTAGTTTTGAGTGGTGTGTACTCCTTGTGAAAACACCTTCAATCTAGGTTAGTTGTGTGGTTAAGGCCAGATTGGCATTAAGTGTATTGTGATTAATACTTTAGTGGAAATCCATCTGAAAGAGGGTGGGACTGGACATAGGATGATTACACCACCTCTGAACCAGCATACATCGTGTGTTGATTTACTTTCAGTCAACAAAGCACACACCAAACATTTGTTAAACTAAGCAGTCACTTTAGCAGTCACCTCGACAGTAGTCTACTGCTCACCCCACTGCCAAGCCTACTGCCCATTTATACACTCTCTTAAAGACATTCCAATATCACAAAAGCCTTATACACTTCATAAATATCCCAGTTCAATCAGAAGTCTGAAAATCATAACCTTTACTCCGCAGTAGCCTCAGCAGTACTATGGGAGATACCTTACTGCTTAGTCCACTGCTTACCCAACTGCCAAGGCAACTGCCTTTCTAGATAAGTTTAAATCTCTCTCAAATGCTCTCTTTGAATTACTTAAACATCATGAGATTTATCTGACCGCCCTCCAAATTTCCTTATTCACTTACTTTAAATAGAAAGTTGTTATTCATAGAGGTTAAGACTTCTGTTGTGCATCTTTAATCTCCCAAAAGGTTATAGATCATCATATCCAGTAGGGAAAGTTTTTAAAGTTGAAAAAGCTTTAAAAGTTTATTCACCCCCTCTAGACTTTTACCTCTATCAGGACACCATGTGTTTGATGATTACTTCGTCCTGAACCAAGGCGTGCGACCCTATCAATGATTACTTGGCACGGGAATCGAAACGCTTTGCTTACCGTAGGATATACCGGTTATGGCCCGCCACGCGTTTGATTCTGATTGGCGAGGTTCTGCGGCGTTAATTATAAATGCCCACCCCCATACGGGTCACTCATTTACTTCCTCTCTAGTCCTTACTCTGTGCATTTTACTTTCTCTCTCTAGATCTCATGCGCACTCTGTAAGTTTCCAACTCTTTAGACTCCGTTCGTCGTCATGTCTTCTAGAGCCGGACCCTCGGCTTCTTCAAAGCCCGAATCTCTTTCTATAAACCCAAGTGCCCGGGGCAGTTCGTCATCCGCAGAAGACCGGATGGATGATGGATGCCTCTCTGGTGACGACATGGTGTACTACGAGCGGGGAATGCCACCTCGGCCACCTCATTACTCCTTAAATTTTCACAAGATTCGGCGTTAGTGCCAATGCCTACTCCCGCGGGACAAACGGATGATCAGTGAGTGGTTTTACCCTCTGTGGGTCTACGATGATCGTCGCCTGCATAATCCCATGCGCCATCTGCCATGTGGTGGTGCATCAAGGCTCGGTTATCGCGGGTCTGTTCTTCCCCTTGCACTCCTTCCATATGGAGCTCTTTAGGGATTTAAAGATTACCCCGGCACAGCTCGTCTATGTGTCTTATTGGATTATAGCAGGCTTCATCATCCGATGCCATAGTGTGGGTGTAGTTCCTTATGTGGACTCGTTCCATTATTTCTTCAGGGTGGACCCGTTTAGACGCACGAGATACCTGAGCCTGACCGCTCGTCCCTCGAAGGTCCTTTTTTCTAACAACGAACCGAATATGGGCGGCTAGGAGAAATGATTCTTCCTTGGCAGGGTGGGCTCCCCGATGCACTTCTCCGATAGGTGGAAACCATATCCGGTGAAGTTTGCCCCCCCCCCCCCCCCCGCCAATGACAGACGAGGAGATGGGGCATGCCGACCGCATAGCCAGTCTTGACGTCCAAACCTTATGCTTCTCGTCATAGAGCCCTATACGACCCGAGCTAGGCTAGGTGTGTCCGTGTATACTTGGCGTTTTTCCTTCCTAACTTTGTATTAGTGATTCTGACCGTCTTCTCTTTTCTTGCGGGTGTTTACGCTAATCTCCCCCGTCATGGGTCGCTCCAACAATATTCCCCCGATCCTTGGCCGCCAGGAGACCCAGAAGAAATTGGTGGTCCCTAAAGAAAAGCGTCGAGTGACTCGGTCGTGGTCGGAGGCTGGCTCGGGGGCTAAACCCTCGTCCAAGAAGCCTCGTCATGAGGAAAATGCTTTTTGGGCCATCGTAGTTGTAGATGAGTCGACGAGGAACCTGGTAGTTCCCTGAAGCGGAAGTCGTCTTCCCATACTAAGCCACCCCCATCTCCTCCAAGGAATTCAGACGTCCGTAAGCTCATAGATGAGGACGTTCGTGATGCTCATGCCTCCACATCCCAGCCCCTGAACTTCAAGGATAAGGACGCTCGCGGTGCTGGTTCTCACGGTGCCCACGCTTCCTCGACCCCGAGGATAAATGATCTCTCCTTGGGGCTTATCGAATTTTCTGGTGTCCGCCTCGTAAGGAGTCGATGATGTTCTTCGGTCACACTGCCTCCTCCATCTGGTGCAGCCTTAATGTGACAACCCGAAAATTCAAATAAAATAAAATAAATATTTTTGGGTTACAAAAAGCGACATTTTAAGGTTGACCAGATAAAATTTTAACAAATGACATAATTGAGCAGATCTGGGTTAATAGTGTGTACCATGTATAAAAAAAAATTATGTACCATGTGTAAAAATTATACGATTGCATAATTGAGCATTAGGTGTAATAGTATTAACCATTATAGTACTGTGTAAATCTATACTACTATATATACTATACGTATATGTTGGCCCACATGTACAAAAAATTTAAACATGGTATAATAGGAATAAAATAAGATTAATAGGTTGTGGTGACCTTTCGTACTCCTGCCATATCTCACACGCAAACTTTACATGTAAGCTACAATTGATTTTTCCGTAAAGCTTATACTACGTACATGAAACCGCAGCAGACACTTCGTGTATGCGAAGTATTTTCATTTCCTTATGTTAACCTGCCATATGCATTTAGCTAACGAAGGAAACAGCGTTATTTAAGTAAAAATTAATGAGGAAGATTTCCAAACGTACGAAACGTGAGATAATATTGAAGGAGTCGTCGTAGTATTTAACGCTCAAAGCCTTAAACCTATCGGATGAGTGATATACACAGTCTAGGTCTCCCTCTTATCAGTATAAATACATAACCATTGACCAACGTTTTCTCCCGTTCAAAGAGCAACAATGATATACGAGTACACCTATATACGCATATATACATAGAAATCGGACTCTTCGCTGTACCAAAAAATGAGAGATAAAACCATCTCAGACCTTCATCCAGTGAGATGGGAAGAAGACAAGAGAGAGAAGGAGAAAAACGAACGTCAGAAGTCGGAGAAATCTCTCGCCGGAGTTCGCCGGGCTAGGTTCCACGCCGGAGGGAGAGTCGTCAAGTTGCGGGACCGAAGTACAAGGCCGTCTTCACGCCGGAAGTCACTGGAGGAGAAACCTACTGAAGCGGTTACAGGGTTACTAGACGGAGCGGTTACTAGACGGCGCCTGCGGATCACCGTTGGGCGAGGCTTCCGTTGGCCGGCCAAGAGCATCGACGAAGACGACGCACCACAAGCTCTGTTTCTTTTTCTTTCGTAAGTGCATCGCTGGTTCTGTTTTATAACTTTGGGCTTGGACCTATTAAAAACTAGAGGGACAGTTTAATTAATCAAAAATTAATGAAAGGATTATTATAATAATAAAATGATTAAAGTAAATGGTTCGAACACCGAACAATTGAGTAATAAAATAATACAGGGGAAAATCGGATGATTATAGAATAAAGGACTGATTTTGAAATCTTAATAAAAAGGGTGATCTAGAGACCGAGTTAGAAGGCGTGCACCAGGAGCGTCACCAATTTAAGGTAAGTTTCTCTGCCGATCCAAAATGTTTTTCCTCATATTATATGATTATTATGCTATGTGTGATTTTGTTTTGAGTTATAGATTATGCATATGTGATATTTGGAAAAGATATTGAATTAATAGTATTTTGAGAAATGCGAAAGATGCATGTACTTTTGGGGTATTAAATATTTTTGAGACTGTTTAGAGAGATTGAGAAATATTTTGAAGTGTATCTTGATTCAAGATAAAAGGAATGTTTTCATAAGAGGTAGGCACCGCGGGAGTAATCTGAGGTGTTGGTTTTCCACGTCCCTTAAAATGTGGAGGGTGATTAGGGCTGCTACTATTAAGGTGTACAGTTTCAGTTTTGAGTGACATTTGGATCTTTGATCCCTTTTAAGAAGAAGTTGTATGTTGTAGTAGCAGTAGTCCCTAATCATTCAGAAGTTTTTAAAGGTGGGGTAGTTGGTAGACTGAGTCCCGACTACTCGTGACGACTTACTACTCGGAGGGCTTGGAATCCCTTTTAGGGGATGTGCACACTTAAGGTAGTCGTTTCGTTTCCATTAAGCAGTTGTGGTACTGGCAAAAGTCCCGGGGTGGCCGTACATAACAACGTAACCACCGGGCTCAACTAAAGTGTTGAGCACCGCCCTTCTAAAAGCTAGTAAGGTACAAAAAGCTATTTTGACAAACCTAATTATTTTACGGGGTTGGGTAGTACTTACTTAGCTTTAAGGCTAATTTTTGCTTCCTTTTCTTTGTTTTGTTTTCTGCACTTTATTTGTGCAGGTGATGATGATTATGTTGACTGGCGATTGCATGATCTTGAGAGCGGTTTAGAGATGCCTTAGTCAAACTTAGTCAGGAATAAACACTTTATTTATATTGAACACTTGTTTTAGTTGTTGTTTTTTTGTTAGCCTGTGCATTCGGTTAAGAGATGACCGGATGTGGCGGTAACACTCATTTCCCTATTAAGACTTTCGCTGTAATTTTCAAATGACTTATCAATAAATAAAAGTTTTATTGCAAATATATCAATATTTTGGGTGGGAAATTTGGGGGTGTTACACTTAACCTCAAGGTACCCCAGGACTTTGCTCCTCAGGAAGCTCCCGAGGACCTTCTCGAATGTGGTTAGAGTACCCTTGATAAGTCTGAGATCTACCACCACAGAGCCCGCTCTGCCTTTGAGCAACATGGAAAGGAGATGGCCCGACTGAGGGTTGAATGTGATACCCTGATGAAGAATGCCAGGGGGAAGGTCAGCCAGCTCCAAGAGAAGGCCGATGCTGCTGACAAGCTTGTCCAGAAGAATGATTCCCAGAGAAAGATCATTTAAAAACAAACATCGTAAATTATTTATATGATAATAGAGTGAAGATGATATTCAATGAAAAGATGAATGAAAAAGTGTATATGACCACCCAAATATCACTCAACACACTATATGCGACAAACTTAATGGAACGAATCAACAAGAAAATATGAAATACAACTAGTGGGACAGATGAATTGATTAACTAGTAGTATGCATTAAGATATAAAAAATACTCCGTATTTTTAGATAATCTTCATATTCATCACCATTATAAAAAGAAAACTGTAACAAAATTATAAAAGCATTATGATGTGTTACAAATATTTATATAAAATATTTTTTCAATGATAATTAGAATTCGTGAAGATAAAAGGTTCAATAATGGTCATACAACAGAGGAGAGCAGGAATAGAAGGTGAAGAGACTGGGGAGCAAGGAGGGTGAGAGTCTACAACTGGATCTAATAACAGTGTTTCTAAAGAAGAAGACATGGAAATCGCAGGGGAGGTGTCGACGGATCAGAAGCGCAGAAGGATCTGGGAAGAGCAGCCAGAAGAGGACCTTGTGGGCGAGAATATGGCTTTGGATAAAGCAAAAATAGGGAGACGGCGGGTCCGGGGCTCTAGACTCGCGGGTTATGCAAGTGGTTTTTATGACGGTGAAGACAAATTTTGGTTTTTATTTTATTGTTTTTTACATTTTCATTTCCACGTTGAAACTGATGTTTTTTGATTTTATTTTAATTCACGTTGTAAGACTCTTGCATTAGGAATGAGTGATTATAGGTCTGCAGTAAATATCGTTGGCTCAATTATGCCCAAGTTAGGATCAGCTAATTATATTGCTTTGTCAAAGCTTCAAAGGTTATTTACTCTGAGTCTGGTTCAAGGGCGGACGATTACATGTGGTTCTTTTGTTATTTCAAACTCTATCTGAATGCTGTTTTATCAATCTAAGCCCCCCTCTTAGAAAATGATAATTAGAATTCGTAATCCTGATTATATAGAGATTTTGAGTATATTTTAAAGATAATCTTTTTAAAAAACAAAGTTATAACAAAATTCAAGGAAATATAAAAACCATTTTTTTTTCAGTTTCACACCAAACCAAATTTTATCACACTAGTATGTGTACCCGTGCGCCGCACGGAAAAAACGTGTGAAAGTTTTGACTATAAAAAAGATATAGTAGGGGAATGAAATTGTATGCGAAGTAATTATTGACAATCGAATTTTATTTAGTCAATTTTACACATATACATAGGGTGTGGATCAAATAAAAACAACTCTTCCAGTGAAAACTGCAAACCGTTCATTTTTTGTCCAATGTGATGCATTTTAAATGTGGTTTGTCGCAAGTTGTTTGCATTTGTAGATAATTAAGACTTATTTACCAAAATGCCACAACATTATACAGAGTATTTGTTTGGATTCGTTCGACCAAAGTTTCAAGGTGAAATGGACCACCCATAAAGTGCATTTCATTGGGCAAAATATGAAAAAATTGCAGTTTTCACGTTAAGAGTGTTTTTATTTGATTTAATCCTATATCATTAAAAAAAACTTTTGTAATTGTTTTCAATATTTGAAGTGCCGTTGGAATCGTTGTTTACTTTAACTTTATTTTATTATTACTATCATCATCGTCGTCGTCGTCGTCGTCGTCATCATCATCACCACCACCACCACCACCACCACCCAAGTGTCGCAAACACTCTCCCACCTTTGACCTTTGTACAAAAGTACGAAGAGACTGTTTTCGGATGACCCATAGTGAAAATCGCGTCAAAAACTGCGTGGATTGACTGCTCTTACACATCAAAGAAGTGCAGACAGTTTAGTAAGTCATTTGTGCTTTATTTCATTATATTCCAAAGTAAAAAAAAGTAGTGAGTATTTGACTTCATAAAAAAATGAAATTAAATGTGAGCAATCAAATACTAAATATATGCTGAAAAATATTGTTTTAAACAAAGTTAATTGTCATATAACTCCACATACTGAAGAGTACGTAGTATTGTTTAAAACAACACACGTGGCAAAGCTAATTGATGTTGGACATTTTTTTGGACTAACTTACATCAAACCAGCTTTTCAAATGGTATTGTGCTTATACAATTGACCAACTTTCTTTTTCCTCCAGGTCTCGCCATGTGCCGGTATCTCTTCGATTAGCCTACGAAAACATGACAGTGAGAATTGAAATTTTAATTTCGCATCTGGTTTGAGATCCACAATAGTTCAAAAAAACAAAGAAATCAGATCAGACTAGCAAATTACGTAAAAATATCCTTATAAAATGCATAGATCAAACATTATTAGACAAGATAAAAAATAAGGAAAACTGTCAAATAGGTCCTCGAACTTTCATAAAAAAATCAATTAAGTCCTTCTATAGGAGACTCTGTCCGGTCGTCGCGATTTGGAGCGGTTCCCGATGGAATTTTTTGATGATTTTTTTGTGCATCTTATTTATCAAGTCTAGTTTACTCATACCAAATTTCAGCTAAATATTTAATCGGGAGCGCAAAAATGCGCAGTTATCTTCAAGAATTAATTTGAATGTGTTCCCGATTGAATTTTTAGCTGAAATTTGGTATGAGTAAACTAGACTTGGTGAATAAGATGCTCAAAAAAATTCATCAAAAAATTCCACCGGGAACTGCCCCAAATCGCGACGGTAAGACAGAACCTCATATAGAAAGACTTAATTGATCTTTTTATGAAAATTCGACGATCTATTTCACACTTTTCCCTAAAAAAAAATATCCTATGAACTGTATTATGCCAAAAGACGGCCAAACAAAATATCCTAGAAGGCCCTCTGCAACGGTCGGTCAAACAAAATACCCTAGAAGACCCTCTGCCACGGACGGTCAAACAAAATATCCTCTCCAACAACGGCAGATCTCTTCCAGTTCTTCGCTCCGCGGCTGCCACCAATCCTCGCACCACCTTTAACTCTCTAACTCCTGGTCGTCATACTATTCTATCATCATACTATACTATAATCTGCAGGGCTGGGGATATCTTCATGATTGGTTCCCCACCATTTTAGCCACCAATTTGCTTTTTGCTATATTTGATTCTGCCATCTTCGCTCCCAAGAGTGTCGTACACTGAAACGTGTGTACGAGTGGTGCTTTCCCCGCCTAGCAAATTCTCTTCCAGGGTCGGCAATGGCGTCCTTCATCGGTATGTAATTGAAATGAATTTGATAGTTCTCCCTAGTCATTTTTATACCACACATATCTTGTGTTTTGCTATGATCACCCCAACCACTAATTGACAATGCTACCTGAGTTTTTTGAGAAATTCACCCTAGTCTTATTTAAAGCTAGGCTTAGATTTTTTCTGACACCTTTCATATTCCTTTTAGTTGTTCCAAGTGGTAGAATCGGAAAGATAGTCCAATTCAGTAAATTGAAAAGTTACATCCTATTTGTGCAATTAAAGTTTCATTTAGTCCTATTTGGGGAATTCCCCTTTGCAAAATTACTGTTTTGTGATACTTCATAGTTCTCATGGTAGTGCAAACTCACCAGTTACAGTTCTTCTAAAGCGTCATGATAAATGCAATAGAGTAGATGAGGGAAGAGCTATTCATAAATGGTCTGACCGGCTAACTGAAAACTCCTCTTCAAAACTTCAGGACAACTCTGTCATATTTTGAAGGGCAGAAATGATTACCATCGCAGTAAAGCCAAGTTGATTTATCGTGGTGATGGCTGGAAAATGCATCCTCTTCCTGCTGAATGCTCAACTTGCTCAACTGTGTTATTGTCACGTTGTAAGTACTATTATTGCTTCTAACGTTCAATTTAATATTCCATGTCCTGAAGTTCAGGATGCAAAACTCATTGTAACTACATTACTGGAGAATGATGAAAGGATATGTATCTGTGCCATTCGTTTGCCAGGCACATGTATTTAACTTACGATCATTGCTTCTTTATTTAGTCACTATCATCAACAAGACCTGATCCCAACTATCTGGGGCATTGCTGGTTTGTTGGCAAGAAATTCATTTTGATGATTATATTGCTAGGAAAGGTCCCTTTTGTTGTCATTAATTTGCCTTTTTCGCTGGTCAACAGACGATCATAATAAGTAGAATAAAAGATATGCATGGTAGCCATAAATTTAACACTATTTATTTAGTTATTTATTTAATCATTTGATTTATTTATTTACTTAGTTTTTCTTATAAGCAGAATACTGAAATCTGTACAATAGTTTAGTTTTTGGTTTGTTTATTAGCCTAAAACAAGTTTTACTTATGACTTTTCCTTTCAGAAAATTGAGTTGATCAGCAAATTCTGCCAAACAACGAAGAGTGTTTAAACGAAGCATCAAATATAAAAGGAGGATCGCCGGATAAACATCGAAGGATCAGCTCGACTAAAGCTAAAAATGCAATGCAACAAATACCGAGCTCAAACTCTTAATCAAGCTCGCCATAAATCAAACGATGTAACTTACCGACATGTTTAGAACGAGCAGGGTCAATAAAGGCATAATTTGTGGGCTCAGGAAGTGTAGACACAAGGTCTGGCAGCTCACAAAAAACAAAAAAACAAAACAACAACAAAGGCCTTGCAGCTCATATCATTCACTTTTCAAAGAAACCAGTTCAAACTTCCTATCATGATGGACCCCTAGTACGGTTACAATGCTTATTGGTATGCTTTTTGGTGGTATGAATTTCCATCCTCTCATCT